ATACCTCTGGTGTGTCCTGCTGCCTGAGATAAAAGCCAGGTAGTTCTAAGTTCAGGTAATGGAGGTTGCACAGGAGATGATGATTATAAAATCTGAAAAGAGGAAATGGGGAGAAGGGTGCCTTTGATGCCTGGCCAACGTTCCTGATTACAAAGGCAAAATTGTAGCAGGCAGTAAAGTTACCTGTCCAAGGCCTGGGTGAAGGTCTGTATGTGGAATCAGAGAAGTAAGAGATTATTCCAGCAGAGGTGGGGGGAGGAGGGTGGCTGGGAAACAGGAGACTGTAAAGAATTGCTTGCAAAAGCACACGCCCCAGGAGGAGGAGATGCCACGGATAAAGTAAGACCAGCATTAAGTTCGGGGCTCAGTTGAGCCCTGGAATGCCCTTTGTGAGGAGGTAATGAGATCACATGGCCGCCTTCATGGGAAGGAGGCGGGCTGGGAACTGGAAGAGCTTGTTCAGTGGGGTTTGGAGGGCCGAGTTCAGGAGGGAAGTGACTGTGGGTAATGCTGTCCCAGGCTGCGCCTTGTGGAACGCTGGCATTCAGGGGCACAGTTGAGATTGCCAAGGGACAAGCGGTCAGAGCTTTGTTCCGTCCAAGAGTAAGGAGGGATTTTATTATTCCAAATGCAATAATAAAAGTAGCCACCATTCAGTGAGCACTGGTCGTGTCGGGCTCTGTGCTCGCACCCATAGCCAGTATCCCCAGTCTTCATGATAATCATGAGGCATTTTTGATCCCATTCTGAAATGAGGAATGCAAGGCTCAGAAAGGCTAAGTGACCTGCCCAAGGTCACACAGGTAAATGATGGAGTCAGAGTTTTACACCTTAGGTCTGTTTTTGAAGGAAGGGGAAAAAAGTCAGAACAAATAAGTTTAAGGAGGAAAACAAAGACACAGAGAACAGACTCAAGAATATGAAATACAATGCACCCCACTGACAGTACACACGTCCTTACGAAAGTGTACGAAACGTGTGTGCAAAGCTGAGTTTTCAGCTGGGGCGGCCTGGACCCTGAGAGCAAGTCCTTTTAATTTGTCCCTCATGCCAGATCTGGGACAGGGGCTTCCCATCTCCTGGCCTTTCAGGAAGATGCAGGTAAAGATAAGGGATCCTTAAGTCCACCAAGTTTCCAGGAGCCCTCCCCGGCCCTGCCCTCCCCAAATCCTGCCAGCTCATTTCTCTTGGCCCTCTCCTGGTGTCACTGATGGGATAGGTGGCCCAGTGCAGAAGTCAGGTTTGCCTCTTTCTTAGAAGACCACGCATCTTAAGGAAGCAGATGCATTTGGACCAGTTTTCCTCCTAGGAGCTCACTTCCCGGCTGAAGCTTCCCTAAGGAGGGCCAGAGGCAGCCCCTGTGTTATACCCAAGGAAGACTCCTGTCCTGGTTGAATGACCTTTCTTTGTCTTTAATCAGAAAATACTTGAAAAACTCTCACTGTAAATGAGTCAAGCCATATAGAAGTGTAGGGAGTATGGTTTTCATGCTGCAAATATGACTATACGAGAAACGGGGGCTCAGCTGGCGTGGCTCAGTGGCTGAGCATCGACTTATGGACCTGGAGTCAGGGTTCGATTCCCTGTCAGGGCACATGCCCGGGTTGCGGGCTCGATCCCCAGTTGGGGCCGTGCAGGAGGCAGCCGATCAGTGATTCTCTCATCACTGATGTTTCTATCTCTCCTTCTCCTTCTCCCTTCCTCTCTCTGAAATCAATAAAAATATATAAAATGAAAAAGAAATACGGTCCCTTTTTATCAAATTAAACCTGACTTCAACGCCCTATTCTACTAGGTGGGTGAAGATTTCAGTTTTTGTGAGAGCTTTCCCTCATAGAAAAGCCCAAACCGAAATATCTAAGGGGCCCCTCTGATATTTGTCCATGCTGGTCACAGATATGCCCAGTGTCCAAGCACAAGTCTTCCCTTGAAATCTGTGTAAGCCCAGGGACCAGCCTCCCAGGGTCCACCCCTTCTGGGCAAAGGCTATAGATTCCCACACCTTGCCGCTCATCCTCAGGACCCCCCTTCCATCCCTCAAGATTCCAGGGACTCTCACCCTGCCCTGCCCCACACACCCTCCTCTCCGCCTTCAGGACACTCACATTTCCTCAGAGTTCAGTCTCTTGCAAAAGCCAGGTCTTTAGCAACATTTGCTTTTGGCAAATGCGCCTGAGGCAAGGAAATAAAAGGTGAGGCTATCTTCTTAGAATGGGAAGAGGGAAAAGACCCAGAACAAAATGTAAAAAGCTCTTATTCTTTTAATTCTTCCACAGAAGCAAAATTAAAATCAGTATCTCAATATGTTGTCCTACGGTTGAAATATTCAACGCAAAGCACCAGAGTCCCTCTTCATCGCCTCTTCTCTGGTTCCTCTTTCCAGAGCCACCACGATCGAGGTTTGGGTGTGCATTGTGTTGTTTTAAGGTTAGCCACCAGTAATCTGGGTGTAGACCCTCAATATTTAATAAAAGAAAACCATGTAGCAGGCTCCGAAGGGGCGGCGGTGGAGATCAGTCATAGCCTGGG